TGCCTCGCCTGTCCCCCCAGCTTTGTGTTTTTACTGTCTGCGTAGTTCTAATGTGTGTTCCTTTTATGAATTTCAGGATTTTGCTGACGAAATGGATGTTCTCTGGTGTTGGGCAAAAGCTAGGAACTTCTCTCCTGTTATCCTGTGTGAGCAGTTGTCAGCTACCAAATTGGCTAGAAATTTTGGGATAACTATGTGTCTGATAGTTTTCACTTAAATTTACTTTATGTGTAAGAACATGGTTTGTCAAAAGGGATTAAATAAAGTTTTTTAATACTAAATGGATTGTTTGATCTTAGTGGAAATGATTGTACGAAAATATTTGGGGAAGTGAGAGAACATCCTGTTTGTGCATGATCACCACAGTAGGCATCTAGGTGTATTTTTTTTTTTTTAATGCTACATCTTTTAAGTATTAAGACCTCGCCAACACGCAGTCTTGAGACCATTTAATCCACTGTTCTGTTGGGCTGCCATGCCAGTCTCTAGCTTTAGCAATGGTGAGGTGGATACCTCTTCCACAAAGAAGAGAAGTCCACGGCTTGTCGCCATTGGCATCTTTCACATGAACCACATCGAAAGAGGCAGGATGTCTCTCGGTGATCACACCAGTTCTTCCCAAGCTAGCACCTCCAGTCACAGCACAGCTTACCAGTGTCAAACGTGGTGAAATCGAGCTACATCTGGCCCCGAGCACCTAGCCGTTTGGTCATGGTTGTGAGAGAACGGGAAAGGATGTCAGGACAGGCTGTGGCGATAACTTACCAGGAGCTGGTCAATGAATGTGTTAGGTTGAATGTTGAACCAGTGGGATTTTCCACACAGTCTGATGCAACTCCTCATCCCTGAAGGTTCTATTAGTTTTTTTGGAGAGATTTTCGCTATAGGGTGTGTGCGCTCCCCAGACAGAGACATAGAGACAGAAAGCAAGAAATCACCCCCCAGGGGGGATGGTCACGCTGCAATCCCTTCTCCATTCTCTTCTCGGGATCTTGGGCATGCACGCGCACATGCCCGGCGTGAGTTTTAAGCCACTGGGTCCGGGATGTGAACCGTGGTCGTCTACGTGGGAGTCCAGTGACATAGCCATGACGCTAACTGCTGGTTCCCGATTCTATTAGTTTCTTCATGGCTTTTTGTTTTGTTGTAGGGCATGTATACTGGCCAAAGAGAGACTGCTCACTCCCTGGGGCCCTTCTCTGTCCCTCTGTCCCTTCTCCAGCCTTCTTTTAGGATTTTGGGTATGCAGGGTCAGTGTGCTTTTTTAGGCCGCGGAGTCTGGGTCCCTAACCATGCAGTAGGTAGGCCCTGTGGGATCCAGTTTCTTGATCTCCACACACCAGCTGGCTCAGGGGTCTGTTACTCTCATGTTCACCTTGCCCTGTGAAGCAGTCAAGGCCCAGAGTCAATGTGTCTCATGCAAGAAGTGAGTGAAGGCAACTCAAGTGCTCTGACTCCAGGCCTGGTGCCCTCTCAATGGTGGAGCGTGGACACATATCGCTGCCACGTATGTCTTATCCCTATCTGGAATTATCTGGAATGTTACCTCCAACTTACTGGGTTTTTTTTTTTGAGAAGTTTTTGCTATAGGGCGCGTGTGCTCGCCAGACAGACACAGAGAGATAGAAAGCGAGAAATCACCCCCCATGGGGGATGGCCCCGCCGTAATACCTATGGGGGATGGCCACGCCGTAATCCCTTCTCCTCCGATCTTCTCTTGGGATCTTGGGCACGCACGCACACACGTCTGGCGTGAGTTTTAAGCCACTGGGTCCAGGACATGAACCGCGGTCAACTACATGGGAGTCCAGTGACATAGCCATTACGCTAACTGCTGGTCCCTTTGAGAAGTTTTTGCTACAGGGCACACGCACTCGCTAGAAAGAGAGAGACAGGAATCACCCCCCAGGGGGAATGGCCACGCTGCAATCCCTTCTCCATTCTCTCAGGATCTTGGGCACACATGCACACGTGCCCAGTGTGAGTCCAAGCCACCGGATCTGAGACTCGAACCACGGTTGACTATATGGGAGTCCAGCGACAGCCATTACGCCAACTGTTGGTCCTACAATTTACTTTTGTTTTGGCTGCCTTGCATAATAGCCTTTTCATGTGGCAGCTCCAGAGGAAACCGATGAAGCGTGCAATAGCACACAAGGGAGTGTGGCTACTGGCCACAAACATCACTCCCGGGCCCAGTGCCTAATTGCAATTCTCTTCACAGACTCCTTACTGTTCTCACGGCAAGGACCAAACTTTTGTCTATTGCTTAGACACACCGCCAGTCAGCAGTCAAGGTTACTTTTGCAGAGGACTCCGGCTGGGACGGGTTGGGGTAGGAGGAACCTTGTACTTCTTACTCCCTGGATGTCCGATTATTAGCGTCACGGATGTTCTCCTATGTCACGCCAGGGGGTCCCTAGCACGTACACTAGTTCTGTTTGGTTTTCGGGTGTTGTTCTATATCATCGGCATCTTGGCAGCTTTCATGTGTTGAACCTTCAGGTCTGTGCTAGGCCTGTTACATACCTCATTTCATTGTATTCTTTTTTTTAAAATTTTATTTATTCATTCACATTCTTTATTTTAAAATTTTATTTATTCATTCATTCATTTATTTTAATTTGGCCAGTTAGAAACACAGACACAGAGACAGAGAGGGAAAGCGAGAAAGCAAGCCACCAGGTCCAGGTCTTGAACCGTGGTTGGCTATGTGGGAGTGTCCAGCGCCTTCACCACCATGCCACCTGCTGGTCCCATTGCATTCCTTTTTTTTTGGGGGGGGGAGAGGTTTTTGCTATAGGGCACGTGCACTCTCCAGAAAGACAGACAGAGAGACAGAAAGTGAGAAATCACCCCCCACGGGGGATGACCACGCTGCAGTCCCTTCTCCATTCTCTTGGGATCTTGGGCATGCATGCACACGTGCCTGTGCGTGAGTTTAAGCCCCTGGGTTCGGGACTCAAACTGTGGTCGGCTACATGGGAGTCCAGCGACAGCTACTATACCAACTGCTGGTCCCTCATTACATTCTTTTTTTTTTTTTTTTTTT